GGGTGGGTGGGTGGGTGGGTGGGTCGCTCTGTTTGCCGAATCGTCGACAACTGCCTCTCTTCTCTCCGGGCGACTGCGAGGAGGGTCGGAGCCACACTGCTCCTTGTAGCAGCATGCCTACGCAGCAGTCTATAGCGCTTGGCGGAACACGCGCCCCCAGCCATCGGCAACCTGTACCTGTGCGCCCACGCGATGCCTACGCAAGCGGGGCTCACGTTCATGACGCACAATCCGTGGGGCAGCCCCAGAGACAGTTGTTCAAGATGCTGGCCCGCTGAAACTACGAACGCCGCCGGAGCACCGCGTTGCTGGGGCCAGTGCTGGAGCCCTCAAGTCCTCCATAAATTCCCAGCCTGAACCGCTCGGTACGGTCAGAAGTTGCAAACCGTCAATGAACTGGAACAATGTCGTGGCAACTGAGTGCTTGAGCGAGCCTTTCTCACCGAAGCCATCACTACCTGTTTCCGAAACTCCGCACCCAACATCTTTGAAGTTCATGGCTGCCCAATGGGCACCTCTGGACGTCGCAGGAACCCAGCCATACTGCTTTTCCAACTCTGCCTTTGCCATCGGTTTGGTTACCTCAAGCTCGAACACAAGCTGGCCAGGTCCAGGCAGGCAAGCAGTCAGATCAAGCATGTGAGCAAGGTCCTGAGGTCCAGACGGCAGACAAATGCCCGGAATCGCTGGAGAAACGTAATGTCCTATCCAATTTGTTCCGACCATGTCGTGCCACTACCCACGATCTGCAGATCTGCTTGGTCGTTCAGTGTCGGACTGCCAATCGGGGGCCATGAAGTCTAACTTCCAGGTCTCGGCAGAAAGTCTTACGACTTCAGCTCCACTCGCCTTGTGTACTCACTTGGCGTGGCACTGTTGTCGAGGGGGAGTCTGGGTCATCACTTAGCTGCCATGCACCCCACCTGAGAATCCACTCGCAACATAAATTTGCGTGTTGCCGTTGTTAGACTGCGTGGCCTTACGGCCTCTGGAACAAGTAAGCCTGCAGCTGCCCACCGGCAATAGAGGAGCCCATGGCCGTGAGGTACATAGAGTTGCCCGCCATGAACGGCGGGACCTCAAGCCACATCACGTCATATGCCATATCAGTCGTTGCATATCATGCATAGAAACATACACACACTTTGCTTTGCTTTGCGAGGGTAAGCGGCACAGGCAGGCCGTGCTTCTCACCCCAACCCCGATTCTCGGCGGAGGCGCTTCCCCGAGTGCGGCTTGACTTAGGCACGGTGGGGCCGTGTGTACGTTTGCACTTGACAACGCGGGCCAACTGCTGCGGAAGGAATTCGTGCCCCTTACGTCCAGGTATGGGAGGGTCTGGGAGTCCAAAGCGAACTGGTGGTCACATGGGTCTTCTGCCAAGATGCACAAGCTCCGTCAGCTTGGGCGGCTGTGGCATTCACCCGCGCGGGCTGGACGAGTGGTTCGCCAGAGTGGGCGGACTGGCACGTCATGCCGAGAGCTAGCTAACACGGCACTTGTGCAAGTTGGTGGGCCATGCCTTCTCAACCTGGAGAGATCCGAGCGAGGTGACTGACCTGATCATTGCGCAGACTCCCGGCGTGTGCAGGCTACCAATCCGACAGAAAGTCGCTGTATGCCCTACAAATCTGCAGCTCATTACCTGTCGTACATTGGCCGTTTCTGGCAGATGGCAAACGGGACCAGCCTGTCGCGTGACTGCCAAAGCGAGTGGGCCTCAAGCACTGCAGAAAGCTTTTCATCGAGAAGAACTGCTCGAGCAGCAGGGCATAATTTGTCTTTTGATGGCTTTCCAGGGGCACTGGTTAGCCGGCTCGCCAGCGCTGTGAGGAACCGAGTTACAAGCCCTTCCAAAGCTTCCTCCACATGGCCGCTGTGCTGAGGTGCTTGGGCTGCGTGGTTGCGAATTTTGCAATCCCACATCCCTACTTTAGCTCGAGCTCCTTCTCGTCACTGCTGGATATCCGGGGCCGGCCTCAACAACGCCCCTTATGTCCCAAAGCTAGTTACCTTTCAAGCTGCACCACCACTGCCACGTCTGATAGCAATCGTCCCAAGTGAACCAATCCAAGTTGGACAGGAAGAGCAACACTACGACCCACAGTGCGATTGCATAGAAAATGACATACGAATCTGGATCGACATCGGACTTAACTTCCTCCCAGACTTCGTCTCGCCAGTTGCTCGCAATGCTGTCCTCGGTATCTGGCTTGTCCATGAGGTCGCGGTATGCTGAGGTGATTTCAGCAAACCGAGCCGAAGCCAAGGCGGGCTCCAAATCTGTCCTCTTGTCTGGGTGCTCAGTGGCAGCAAGCTCTCTGTAGCGGGCCTTGATGTCTTCTTTGGCAGTCCCACGCTGCAGCCCCAGGATCTTCCACGGTGAGGCCGAAGCCCGCCCTGCTGCTCGACAGACCCGGTGATGCCTCCCTCGATAGGGCAGACTTCCTGTCGAAAGCCCCATCTGACCGGCCAACAGGCACCGAGCGCTCATCCATTCCGTGAGCCAGAGGCAAAAGGAAAGAAGAATAAAGGCGAGGTGGCCCAATCGAAATCTGCGGCGCATGCCTTCAAGCCTTCGATCACTGCGTAGGATGGGGCCTCAGGCTTCGGGCCTTTGGCAGGCGACTGCCTCAAAGCCGCAGCTAATCACTCCACATCAATCCGCAAGTGGCTGACTTTTGAAATGCACTGCCGTAGCAATGCGAGCAGTGAGACCTACAGGCTTGAGCCACGATCTGCAAGGAGTCTCTCAACAAAGATTACACCTGCCCCGGTGCCATCAGAGCTTGAGGCTGGCAGTTGCCGAAGAATATACCATGAATGAGCTTATCGATTATGTGGTTTAAAGTTAAAGCCTGTCGTCGACTTCCTGTCAAGCCTCAGGCATGCAACCCATCCCAAAGGAGGCACTCGTTCTGTTCACATGCCCACAGGCTGGCAGTTTCAGGCCGCTGCACGAAGGCATGTCCACGCAAACAGTAGCCATGTCGAAGATGCTCTCCTGCGTGCTGAGTTTGCTGAATCGCACACATAGGACTCACTGCCAAACACGAAGCTTTGGAGATATGCCAACCTCATCACAGAACAGCTGCACCTGCTGGCACCTCCAGGTGCCATGCTGTTGAAGCAATCGGCAAAACAACCTCGAGCCTTTGGAACACTGCGCGGAAAGGGTGCACAAGGCCCGGGCGGGTCTTCTGCCAGCAGGACTCTGGGCACGTTGGCCTTGCAGCTTTGTGCCCGCAGAAACCACTGAAGCTTCTGATTACAGCTGAGCATCTGACCTTGTAAATTTCCAAAGGCCGAGATGTAATTTCGCTACCGGTCGGGCTAGGGAGGGTCTGAACCAGCGAGACCGGCATGTCAAGCCCTCTCTTACGCCATATCCACAGTGCTGTACATGGACGTCTAGAGAGTCTACAGCCGCAGCGGCATTGCTAGCGAAGCTGTTTTGCAAGGGCGGCGGGACGGAACAGCAGCTGCCATGCAGCAGCATCTCACTGCACCATCGCGTGTCACCGCTTACATCGCTGAGGTCATCAAGGCAGGCCACGCAAGCAAATGTCCTGCTCCTCGGCTCAGAAAGAGATTCGCCAGGCAGCTGGGTAAGATGGAAAAAATGAAGTTCCGCTGTGTTCCAGGATCGATTGATTGTAGAGGACGCCAAAGCTTCGGTGTTCGCACTCGGACACTGTTAGAAAAGCAGCTGCAAGAGTCTGACATCGAATGCTTCAACCAGAGTTTGTACTCTCACCCTCGGACACTGGCAGCGCCTCCAGGCTCTACAAGTTGACCTCCAGTTTCAAACACATCATCTTCACGCCTGTTTGGGGGGGCAAGTTCGGGTTCGGGTGCCTCTAGCCGACTCTAGCCTGATGTTTTTTCAGTTTTCATGCAATGCCATCTGCCCAAGATTGCTTTCGCCCTAGCCCTGAGAGTATGTCTTGGCTGAATGTGCGCAGCCTGTAGCCGCATCTGAACTGAGCGAGCAGCATCCAAGTCGTCCACGATGTCTTGGCCACATATACGCTCGTGATCGAGAGACCGGCGCGCATCGAGATCAATGAACTCGGGACACTCGCACAAGCGTGCGACATCCACATTGAACCTGTTCACTGCCAAATGCAATTCCAGTTCTTGCAGGGATGAGTCCTTACCGCTTAAAACGCTTGAATGGACTTCAATTCCTTGTGACGATCTCAAAAATTTTAAGATCGAAGATCAGCTGAGTGGCGTAATCCTTGTGAAATCACTCCGGTTCGCACTGCGACGATGGAAAACATGCGAAGTGCGCAAGATACACATCTGCCAGGCATCAAGCACCAGAGACTGTACACTGGGCCTTATGTCGGCTGCACATGCCAGATCTGACAGATCCACTGTCATTCCTTTCCGTGCGAACTGGCGGGCGCGAGCTGCAACTGCTGAATTCATCTCACCAAACATGAGGCATTCTGTGCAGTTCGAGGCTGTCGAAGGAGAGGCAGAAAGAAATATTGTGCGCACCTCACCAAGGCGCACGTCACGTGAAGCAGCCAAAGAATGCAACAGATCTGCACAATCGGATCACCTGAAACTGAGATCCCTCCCGACCCAAGACTTGCTTTGGCATGCCTCTGAAAAATGCTGCGCATAGTCCAGATGGAAGGGCTGAGCCGGAGAGCCCGGCGGCGAGAAAAGCAGACGAACGCTGATAACGTCCATGCCAGGGGTAAGTGCCGTCGCAAGGCTTGCAGCGTAGTCTCGGAGAGCAGCCAAGTGTCTACTGTCCGTCGACTGCCTTCAGCGTCGTCAGAAGAAGCTAAGCCGAGCTATCTAGCGAACCGCATGATGCGACCAAACACTTGCGACAATGGGAAAGACTTCAGGCACCCGAACAAACACACACACACACAGACACGAACTCCAGGCAAACCCTGGTGGGTAGTTCTGAAGAGTGATACCAACTCAGATATCAGTTCACGGACTCATCAAAGGGAAAAGCTTTCTGGGAGGTCCCTCAATAGGCTCTGGTTTCCTTGCTGCTGCTTACTATGTCGCCATTACGAATCAACAGCTTTGAGGGTACATTCGGGCGGCCACTCTGGCAGGTACGTCAGTCCGGGGTCCCGGACTATTATCAGTGCCTAGTCAGAGCCTCTTCGTTTGGCAATGGCTCTGACTGGGCAGATTGCCCCCCTGCTGTTACTGAGTGACCATGCCATGCGAAAGATCCAGCAAAAGAGCACTCCCGTTGTAGTTTGGGTTTCAAACACACACACACACACAAGCGCATACACCCAGACAGAGCTACCAAACCTGGCCTTGCATCCCCAGTGTTCCTCCCCCAGATCATGTAGTGAAAGGGCTCCGTGGGCTGGGCAGCCATTGCTTCGCAAACGACCTTCGTCAAAAGAATTTCTTCTTGGCGGCAGAAGCACCACTCAGACTCCTGCAAATGATATCTACTCTGCCTGCGCCAACGCTTCGCGAATCTCGTCTGCAATGCCGCCATTGCTCACATACTCTATGTCCATGAAGAGGCGAAGAGGAAACAGCTCGTTGATGCTACTCTGGTGATGCTTGCACGCAAGGCTCAGCACCACGTACTGGCAACTTCAGGTATCAATCAGTCCTGCTGGTTTGAAGCTTCAAGCTCTGCCAGGATCAGGGACACCATGGAGGTTTCCTGCTGGACGAACCCAGTCCCGTTCGACATTATGATATGATCGTATCTCGGGCAAAGTCGGAGGAGCTCGGTTCCTTGCAAATCCGTGTCCTACGAATAGGAGCGGCTCCTTTGAGCCGAAGCTGATTAGCAGGTGTGCACTTTGTCACGGACTGCACAGGTGGCTCTTGCGCTTCGAGGGCAGCCAAAGCCAGTTTTTGCTTGTCGCGATGTGCCGCTAAACGACCGGCAGTTGATGTGGGTGGGGGCTTTGCCAATGCCGGCAAAGGAAAAGTTGCAACGCAACGGGCGCCAGTCGGAAACGAGAGCACGAGCTCGATCCGGATCGCCACTCTTAATTCAGGATTCTGCCACCGTGACTGCGGTTAAGGTTCTCACATCGGCCCCGAAGCAGGAAGTCCAGGACGAACCAAGTGATGTTGTTCACAAGCGGCTCCGAGGTGACATCCTTAGGCACTCTTGAAGCGCAACAAGCCGTGTGTCGCTTGCGGAACCGTCTGGTAGAATGGAAGAGGCTGAAGCTTGAAAACGGTGTCTTTGGCGCGGCGGCCTCTTGCAAGCTTAACATAGCTTAACCACCAATACAAACAGGTTGCAAACTCGATCGTGTCCTCCACCAGGCTGCCCCCCGCTGGACTTGTTTTGACCAGGTGGGTATGCACGAAGCCACCAAAGAACGGCCCGATGGCTTGTTCCTAGTCTTGCATCGATAAGCAAAGCAATGCTGAGCCCACTTGCGACTGCTGTCAATCAGAGCAAAACGGCCAACATGTTACCAAGGCTCGTAAGTCAGTTGGTAATCGACGCCCGAGCTGTTACATCTCTCGCACTGGGTAACTTTGCTGGTCCAAGGGAACGGGACGACGAATGCTAGCCTGAGGCTGTGCAGGTCAAGTCGGTGTGCACTTTTGCCAAATCGAAAGGCCAAACAAAAATTCTGCCTAGGAAAGCCCTGGTCGAGAAACATCCAGTAGTTGAAGAAGAGGGGCAACTCCAGCTGGCTTTTCTGCTCCTCGGCTAAAAAAACTGCCCACTGCCGGGGCAAGGTGCAGGATGATGACTCGAAGCTACAAGTCCTTGAGGAGCTGCGGCTCGGATTTCGCCAAGAAGTCCTCGATGTCCTACCAGCAAGCGACATACTCCAAAAAGGACATTGTCCTCCCGGGAGCAAGTACCGACAAGCACTTAAGAGACTTGGGAAATCTGGTCTGCGTCTCAACTTGTCTTTGCCGCACGGCCTCCTGGGACTTCTTGCGAATTATCAAACGAAACCAGAACCTCATGTGCCAGTGCGCTTACTGCTGTGCCGAAGCGCAAGTCGGGAGCTTGTCTGAGGTGCGAGCGGCGTCGTTTCATCAAGAAGGCGGGGATTCCGAATGACGGCAAAAGCCTGGTCTGTGTTGAGATTCTGCAGAGTGAAGTCCACCCGGACCTGAACTTCGGGGCATCGGCTGCCAGAATCTCCGACATGGACTCTCAGATTCAGCCCAGGAGGCAGGAGCCGGCTTGTGGGGTCCGCGGATTTTAATGTAGAGGGCTCCTGGTCAGTAAAATTAAAGCCACTTTCTAGGAACCTCACGAAAACGATTTGAAACAAAAAGTAACACAGTAATGTGGGACTGCAACCAGACTCTGTAGCCGAAGGCCGCAGCACAGCAACCGGCGGATACCAAGAGCACTGGCATGGCAGGGCAGCTCAGAAAATGTCGGCTCCAAGGCCAGCTGTTCTGGAGGATTCACGCTCTCCTACGATGAGAAGCTGACTGATGCGGAGTTGGCCCCTGTGTTGCACCTTCCTGTCGCAGAGTTTGTTTACGGCTATGAGAGCAATTAGAGGCTCTAAACCTCTGCCTCCATTCATAGGAGCTGCCCACAACTGACATGATGATGTGCCACACACGATGCCCTCCCTTTGCAAGGCCTGCAGCGTAGGACATGCTGGACATGGAAGGACAAAGTAAGCTTTCCGGGGATCGACCAGTTCGAGCTCTTTCATCTGCTGACACTGTCGCAAGTTGGCTCAGCAGAGGCTAAGCTAAGGCTGACCTCACTGGGAGGAGACATACACGAGCATAGACCTGAACACTTCAGGAATGGAGAGTCAATCACAGGACTGACCCAACTGCTACCGCCACCAGATGGGCGCGCTGCCATTTTGGAATATTTATGCTGATTTTGCCGGAGTCATCTGCCTTGCGAGCCAAATCAATGCTTCAGTTCGACAACGGTGGCGGTGCTTCATCTGTCTCAAGCCCCTGCTCTCCGTAAGGACCTGTTTTGTTGTCGACCTCCATGCGCTTTCTCTTGAGTTCTCTGGGCCGTTCTGCTTCACACATCCCCAAATCTGTTGGGGTTTGGCGAGCAGCTTCCCTCAAGTCTGGCAGCATCTCCTTGGAACTCTGACGGCCGTAAGCTGAGGGAGCTGGATCTAGGACTTGGTGCTTATTACAAGACTGCAGTGTCAAAAAGGTAGAGCACCTGCAAAAATTTCGCCGGGGGACAGCGAACTCTTCATCCTCCTGCAGTGACCGGATCTCCTCCTCCTGCGCTGCCCGCAAAGCCCTCAGAGCCGGCCCATCTGGCATCGAACACCTAGGTTTTCGAGTATCCCCATTATGACAAGCGCACCTTAGATAGCATCTTTTTTCACAGTCTTCTGTTTTACTAAGGAGGCCATTAAAAAGAGTATGAACAGAGGACCTAGACATACCTAGACACTCTAAGGAGCTCAGATACTCCTTCGAGTAGACCGCCGGAGCAAGAAGGCGCTGCAGCAGTGGAGGCCATGCTTCACCACGCGGTGCGTTCACCAGCTCACCGTCCAACCACACGGTCAGCAACCATCGTTGATGGGCCTACTTATACCACTTAGACTTACTCTCAGGGTGATGCAAGGCCGTGACCATCCCCTTGAGAAGTCGATGAACATGAACCTCCGATAAAAAGAGTTTGGAGCAGACACCGGCCTGGCCCTCTCTGCTTGGCGGCAGGGAGTAATGCAAGATACGATCAGAAAGGAAAAGAACGCCGTGGTTGAAGCAAGGTGTGACGGCCGCCCTGGAACCCAAAAAGGGTTGTATGACCAGCTCTGCACCAAATTCTGGCTTCCAGTCGGTGCTGAGATACAGGAGCCAAGTTATTTGCCGTCGTGGCGCAGTCTCCGAGGTGTCATAATGGCAGGGTGCGCTTCCAGCAGGCCCCTTTGTCAGCTGCAACCTTAGAACAGAAAAGCCAGAAGCTGCAGAACAAGTTTGGATCAACCGACTCGCGCGAATGGCCTGCGGCAGCCAAGATGCTTCACTTGCACCTGCGACACATCGCCCATGCTACCTGCCAGCGCAAGCCATGGCAGCTGTTCCACCAATGCTTCCGCCAGCGGTACGGCAGCTTCGCGTGCAAAGCTCGAAAGGTTCGGTGCCAAGGCAAGATCCTCAACTGCCTCAGCTCCATCCAAGTCCACAAAGCTTCCTGAGCCAGGATGCTCGCTGAAGACATAAGTGCCATGGGGCTCAGGCTTCTCAAAAGCTTTGCAAGCTAGCAAGACATAGGCTACGACTATTTTTCGAAGCAAAAATTAAGTCCAGTCGGAAACAGACGGGTAAGAAACCAGTCGGCAAGTATCGCCCCGGATGCCTGTACTCACAGCGCTCTCCAGCTGTTGCCTGAAACTCGAAGCAGTGTGGACGTAACATGCCTGCTTCCTCCAGCAGTTGGCATTCTGATGCAAGCGCACCCGCCCAGTCGTCTGCCAAGCAATGATCAACGCTGGCCCAGCCCTGCTCTGCCAGAAGCGCCGCGCTGCGCGAAACAACAGAGCTAATCGAGGTTTTGTTCGACATCTCCGGACCGACAAAAGCAACACCTGTTGACGATGCAAGGTTGGGCCGGTGCCATCGGCAAAACACTCAGCACAGTGAATAACTGCTACGTTGATGTCATCCTTGCATGTTGCCGCTTGTGTTGCGGCATAGCTAAGAGAGCAGGCTCCCGGTGCTGCCAACAAGAACCGGATGGTGCTAAGTCGTTGGGTCGAGCCTGGCTTGTGTACGGGAAGCTGGGCGCTTAAGTCGGTGCGCAGCTTCTTCCGATTTTTCAAAGGCTGCTGTGTACTTCCATCAGCCTTACAAGCTGCAGATGAGCACAGACAGGACGAGCTGCCGCAACTACCGAAACACCTGCATTTCGTGATGTATCATGCAGACCCCTGCAAACCGCGGGATACAAGATTTGTAGGCATGACTGTGTTGCAAGGTGGCGTTGTGGCTCGATGCAACGCATGAAGCGCCTTCGCCTCCGGTGTGGCACTGCCTTCCCAGCCACCAAACCTGACTGCAGATGCAACAGAGCTGGCCTATAATATGTATACACACACACATATATATATATATACACATACATATATATATATATTATATTAATAATATACATAATATACATAATATATACTCCAGTCCCGCAGAGGCTCCGGCTCTTTGGCCTGGGAGTTCAAAACCAGCTTCCAGGTTCTTCCTCCGAAAAAGGGGTGTTACATGGGTCTGCGATTTCTGTCCGAGTGCCTCCACCCCAGCCAGTGCTAACCTGGGCTTTGAATGGAAACGCCAGGCTTGCTCTCCAGTTCCAAATGTGCCTGAAAAATCCTGGGAAGCAGGCCCCATAGCTGTCCTTGAATTCTTGCGGTTCCGCAAGCTCATCAGGCGGTGCTAGCATCAACAAGAAATTTCTTCCGGAGCTGAGCGGCGCTTTCCCACTGGGACTCAGCCAGGTGGGCAATGCAAAGTGCTGCCGTCTCCTCGCGAGATTTGTCCCTATTGAGGGCCAAACGCCAGCTGTGGTGGTCCTGGGTCCAGCGCATAAAGGCCAAGATGGTGCTGCCACCATCCTGCCGTGATGCAAGCTAATGCCGAATGTGTCACGAGAGTCTGAGCTCATGCCATCACGAGCATGGGAACGTCTCAGCTAAGCCAAACTTCCTCATGGACAAACTTGACCTCGTCCCGTGTGAGCGGCTCCTAAGCACAAAACAACGGCGTCTTGTTTCTGATAGGCCTTTTACATCCCAGTCAGGTCTGCGCAACCACAAGCAGCTCAGGCTCGGGCGCATGAGACTCTCAACTTGTTAGAAGCAGTTACGAATGCTCGCATCTCTGCCGTGTGCGGATCGCCGCCTGCAACGCTGCAGTTTTGCCCACCATCAGGGGCCACTTGCACAGGCGCCTTCAAGCAGTCCCCAGTTGAGCCGATGATGCTTGTCCTCGGTTCATCCAATTCAGGGACATTGCTGAGAGGCGGCTACTGTACGAGGCAGTGCTGCTGGTGCCGAACATGAGTCTGTCCCGGGAGAAGCTCACCCCTGGTGAAGCTGTTCTCGACCGACCTATCTCCAGACATTGTAGACTTCTCTAGACGCAGGACATTGCATGTGCAACGACCTGGGTGGACTTTGGCGACATCACGAATCCTCTGCACATCTTCATTGTGAAGATTTTGGTTGTCGTTTAAAGCCGCGACGCATCAGATCAGAACAAACTGCCCTTCCTGTCTTGTCGGGTTCTTGTTCCCTTCATGTTTGTCCCGCGAAGCTTTCAATTTGCTGTTCCTGCATTGCTCCTGGACTTGCAGCTTGAATTTGCTTCGCAGACCGTGTGCAAATCACAAGCAAAATGCGTGGGCAAAAAGAAACTATGGTCACGGCAACATGCCACCAATCTTCCTGGAGATTCTCGGTACCTGCCGTGTTCACATCACCTGCATGCAACCTCCGCGTCTTCGCCTGAGCTCTCCTTTCAAAGAGCCGAGGCGGCCCATAAAGGTCATCGGGAGGCCTCTTGCTTCAAGCGGGAATGAATCAAAAGTCACGAGATGCATTCCCATTCCCGCCTTTACAACAGTTCTGGAACCCAAACCACGCACGGCACTGCCTTAATCAACAGCTGCGTTGGCACACTCGGCTTCACGCACTCCCGTAAATTCTGAGAGCTACACGCACGCGCATGCCAGTTGCCCTTGCCGCCAAGCCGGCTGACGTAGTAGCGATGGGTTCCGTGCCTCAGAGCCCACAGGGCAGTGGCTGAACGGTTCTGTGGCATCGCCGCAGTGGTAGGACCGGGGCCCGTCTTGATTTCCGTTATGCCTGTCTCCAATCTGGTCGTGCCTCCGCACACTCTGAGCTTACTCTCCGAGCTCCGCGTGCCTTTGCTTGGGTTATTTCTTTGCTAGACCGCTGCCCTGCTGATGGAGGATCTCGGGCCCAGTCGATCCAAGCAAGGAGTGCACTCCGCCAATGTTTCCAAAGCCGTGAGGGGCGACCTTATCTAGAGATCTTCGCAGGTCAAGCCGACTTGCTTGTCATTGGCTCTCACTTGCACGTACATCCTGCAGCTGTGCAGCACAACACATGAGAACTGCCGCCTCATCGGTTGAGGGACAGACCATATTTTTCAGCATGCCCAGCCGCTTGTTCGGATCGGCGCCTCCATCAGAGCCCTTCATGATCTTGACCTCATCACGGCTCCACAAAGATCTCTTCCGAAGGTCTCAGTCAAGTTGGATTTCCCTTCTTGCGCCTTGCACCGCGACGAATTCCCAAGGCACCGACCGAATCAAAGTGGGTAGCATGCAACCAGCAAGAGTGGAACCTCGCCCGGACACCCCAAAGACCAGTGCATCCCTGATCATCTTGCCGGATGCCATTCCAGTCTACACTAGGCCTGAAAGCCTTTAAGCAGGTGGCCCGGCATCGTGAAGCACCTTGCCAAGTGACAAACATTTGCAAAAAACCAGCTCCGGTCACGTTCTGCGTTGATCACTTGCCTTCGGGTTCTCCGGCGTGATCTCCGCGATGAGGATTTTGTCTGGATAGTGCGCCTCTTGCTCAGCCAAGACTTCAGGACCAGTCTTCACGAGTCGCTACGCCGTGTCCCGGCGCTGGTTGCAGAAGATGATGCGGTGCTGGCTTTATGCTCCATCGCATCTCAACGCATTTTTATAGTAACTTGTCCCGAGCCAGGTCAATGAGCCAGTTTAACTATTTTCAGTCACATCCGGTGCGTGACCGGCATCGCACCGACATTTCGAGGGTAGGCTTCGAATGAAAGGCTGTCTTTCGAGGATCCATTGTTTCAATGTGCACGGCACACGAGCTGTTTTTCATTTTCCTATCCCGGCACCGTGCTCTATCTGAGCAACTCGTGATGTGTCTATTGTTTGAAGCCACAGAAGGTTTGATTACGACTGCAGGCTCCGCTCGTACGCAGTGAATGCTGGCAGCCAGCCAGCCCACGAGGTTGAAACTCACAGGCAGGAACGCGCCCGCCTTGATCTCAAAAGTCAGCTGCTGCAACAGCCACCAAGGCCTGTCAGATCCCCTAGAAAGCATTCCGAGCGGACAGCTGCAGGCTTAAGGCGCCCACATGTTGTGCACGGAGTCGAACCGCAAGCCGTCCACCCCGTACTCTTCAATGCAAGTCCGGCAAGACTGCAGGAGGTCACCGTCAGGTAACCGCGAGAGCGTCTAAGCCGAATTGGGGCCCTTTGGCCTGCTTCAGGTAGTCCTGCACTTCGGCCTTGTGAAAGGCAAAGCGCTTTCCCCAAGGCCTGAGAGAGCCCAAGAGATGTAGCGGCGTGTCGCGGCGTGAACGCGTGAGAGCGGGTGCGTTTCTCTCTTGCCAGACAGGGCACGTATCCTTCTCGCCCTCGAAATAGATTCCTCCACAGTTGTCGGGGCCTGCACGATACAGCCATAGATGCAATCTCTTGGCCCCGAATGCATTGCACGTTCATGCCCGTCATAAGTCGGCTACCAAAGCCGTCCCAATTCCAAAGAACGTTCATCTTTGATGAGCCTGCGTTCCCAGCCGCTTGATGCTCTCAGTTATCTGCTGTGCACGTGAGCTCATGCCACCCTAAGACTGCGCATTTGCACTCGAACACCAGGCCATGATTGAGAACGACGTCAAAGAGCACGGCCATGCCGAGGCTGTGCCTCTGCACCAAGCCAGCAGCGCTTTGTCAAAACATACATGCTCGGGAGGAACCGACAAACCTTGCAGATTCCGGTGGCATGTATGAATTGCATGATAAGCCGGACGGCGAAAATAGCAATCGGCTGCTGCATGGACGCAAAACTGGGTGCTCCAGCGCGCGCTGCACCATCGCATGCATGTCGGCTGCCGACCCCCAAGGTCCGTGCCTCAGTGGCCCCACGCAGAAACGGGGAAAGCCAAGGTGACTGAGAGAAGTCCCCTGCGCCGCCAACAGCTGCCGCGAGTTGTACCCCCAAATGCCGCCGAACTCAGCCTGGCTTAACATTCTTGGCCTACCAGCTTCACGAACTGCTGCTTCACAAGCACTGGCAAACAAGCCGGAACCAGCTGTGGGCATGAACTGAATGCAGTTGAAGCCTGACATGGGATCAAGCCAAGGGACAAGCAATGAAGCAAGATGTTTGGGTTGCAAGCCTTGGTGTTGGCTTGGGATCTATGGGTTCAATCTGAGAATGCGACCCAAAGATGCTATGTGCTCGAGCTTCTCGCTTGTTGCAGCGAAAGCTCGTCCTGAAAGTCTTCGACGACTGTAGAAGCATTCCGCTGGCGGTCTTTGGGCCCCGGCGTTCGTCTGCTTCGGAAACAAAGCTGCCGATCTTAGGTTCGGTGGTTGTGTGCCGAAATCTTGGTCCAAGACTGAAGTGGAGGCTCCCGGCATGCAGCTCGTAGATGATCAGCTCATTGAACTTCGGAGCTGTGAAAGCTGGGGGAGGCGTCAGCGGAGGATGGAGTATACACCTCGGCGGCCCGATCAAAACCTGCTTGCGGAGATGACGAAAGCCAGGCTTCCAGCCAGGAGGAGTTGAAGTCGCACTCTCGCGCACATGGGTCTCGACGAAACAAGCGTGCTCCTTCCTCTCCAAGTTCATCAAGTTGGTTCGTAGTCCAGAAGCTCACAGCTGAGGCTTGATCTACTTCGACTAGATTCAGCTAGATTTGACCATCCGTCCTGGTGAAAGCAGTCGTTCCAGCTGGAACCCATTGCAATCCTTCGCCAAGGAAAGCTTCCATTTTGTGCACTCAAGCTTTCAATGTTTGGGATTGGCTGACCGGATAAGGTGCAATCATACACACACACACACACAAACACACACATGCGAGCGCGAGAGAGAGTTCGAAGACCGCGAGAGAGAGTTCGAAGACAAAAGCTGGGAAGGTGCAAAGGCTGGACACTTTTTTCTGCGGTCTCCCTGCGATCCCTGCACTCCAGCCGTTGCCTCGCAGGTTGGGTGCTTGGAGCACAACTTCACAACCAGTGATAGCTGCCTCGCCTCTGCGTCAGACCGGTTCCTGGCTCCAGTCATACGTCAGTCCTCCTCATCATCGCCTCCACCTCCGCCACCTCTCACGGCTTCAGTTGTTGTGAAATCTCCACAACATTTGGCGTGATATCTTGCAGGGGTAGCAGCTGGACCTTTGGACGCCATCTTGCGGCGCACACGCCCTCACAAGAATGGTGACTGCAGGCATAAGACGACCAGTGCTCTTTAGTCTCGTCAGGTGGAAGGGGAAACCACAACAAGTTGCTGTAATGAGGGGAGTCTTACCAAGTTCGGAAAAGCACAGGGCACCATCTCCCTAGTGACATACTCTTAGCCGACGCATCACATGCTGTGCAGCACGCTGTGCATCGCATAGACGATTTCAATGCCTGTCGAGGAGCTAAACTCAGTACACTCCGATTTTTTCTCTCTGTGCAGCAAGATTTGACTGTGAGCTGTGGAGACATAGTGTGCTGTCGAACTCGTGCGAAAGTGCTACAACAGGATTGATACATAGTGAGACCATGATTGTAAAACCTTCTTACGCGTGCCCGACTTTGATGCTGCAAGCAAAGGTCTCAATATATGGAGTGTGATTCCATGTCGTTTGTCTTGTTCTGGGTCCTGGGTTCTCTGCGATGTGATATCGTAGCTTCTGTCTGCGACTTGTGTAGTGGGCTCCGTGTCTTCGGTTTGTGCAGGAGCTACTGACAAACTGCGGTCTGCCTGGCCGGCCACCACCGAATGGCGATGTGAGGGCAAAGTCAATGTGCTTCTCACCTGATTCGAGCGAACGGAGCGCCGAGGGCGCACATGGTTCCTGGTAAGGCGCAGGCTGTCCAATCGGACCAGGAATGATGGGATGTCGCCTCGTCTGCAGCAGGTGGCGGAAAGCACAGAGACCCTCTGCACAACTTGGGCGGGTGCAAATCTGCTTGCCCACGCGGATGTGTCTTTGACGAATCAGGGTGCGCCTCGGTCAGAGTTTGAGCACGGGTCTAAAGCCCAGCTAGCACCCTTTTCAGCTGATAGGAGCCCTGCGCATGGTGAATGGACTTAGCAAGGCCGAGTTTGAACACCTGACAAAGCCGAGTCCGATGCTTGCCAGTTCTGTGGCCGGAGCGGCGCAAAGAGCCCCTGCCTTCGTCTGGAGTCTGCGCTCCATGATCTTCGCAGTTGTGAGCCCTAGGACAAAGTCCAGCTTCCTCAAGTGTTGGTGAGTTGTGCGGAATAGTGAAGGCTACCGTGCTAAACATGGCGGCGCAAGCAGAAACTCAGCCAGCTTAAGGGCTCAAGAGCACTAGGAAAGTTGATCCTGGAGGCACCCTGGTGAGTGGAAAGGGATTACGGCTTTGTGACCGCTCTGTTCTTGGACAGACGTTTGGCATGAAACCTGCAGCCGGTGTAAAAGCTGCTGCCCAAGAATCTTCTCCGACTCCAGCAGAAGACCAAGACGAACCATGCGACGCAGCAAAGCTTCTCCCTGGGGCAGCGATCTCGAATCATCTTCTCTGGTGCCTATGACAAGACAGCAGTTGGAGTATGTTGTATTAGCTGTTATATTCCATTCCGCTACAGTACAATAACACACATTACGTTACACTACACTACATTCACTATACGAGTACGACGGTTAAGTATACAACACTACAGTACAGTAGACAACAGCACACTATTGCACGCTACGGCACGCCACATTGCATCACACTGCGCCGCATTACATTACACTACCTAACCTTCACTACGATACACTACATTGCCTTAAACGGTATTTCCATGCAATAGTAAACTTACGTTCTTGATCCAGCAAGGGCCTGGAAGATGCGCGTTTCGCTGCGCTCCTCCTGGGTCAGGAGTGTGCGGGCAGCTGTGCGGATCTTCGCCAGCCTGGGTCGATTTCTTAAACATTCTTAAACTTGCACTTCTTGAGCAACGTCTGCTTCACACTACTCAAATGGTTAACCAGAAATCGTGACATGCTGACAAAGCCATACAAAGCCAATGATGATGTTGCGCTGTTGCAGTTGTCTAACGTGGCGTCCAGCACAATAATTCTGACTGGATGCGCATACTGGACTCGCCAGACCTGTGCTGAGGGCAGCAGCAGCGTTTCATTCATACAGCCATACAGATTCCTAGACTGAAGAAGCGACCCACTTCGCACATGCCAAGATGAAGATGTCAGAAGTCCAACGCATGACCCGCTGGAGCATTTTGTCAGACCCGCCTCACGCTTGTTTTTCAAACCATATTCGCCAATGATCTTCATCTCTCCATCCAAACGCTCCTTCCGCATGGGACTGGCAAAAGATGACCGGCAGATTTCTGCCTGGCGAGCCAAAACCAAAGATACCGGAAAAGCACACCTTCTCGAAGGGGCGCTTCGGCTTGCGGAAGGTCTTCCCATAGTTCTGATAGCCTCAATCACTTCGGAATGAAGTTGCAAGTCAACACGGCCATGCATCCAGTAAGCCCGGGGCTCTTCTTGCCCATGGCTGCGCAGGTCGCGGCCCCACAAAACACAAGCCGCTGCAAGCAAAACGAATCGTGCAATCATGCATGTGGTTCATATGCCAGAGGAAAACCCTACAAGCAAGCCTAACCTGATTGACCGGATGTACAAGTATCACCGCGACTCCTCAATCTCTCAGGATCTTCAAACCAGGCTCCTGTACCGATCTCCCGGTTTGCATGGAGCTTGCCCAGTCCAAAAGTTATCTTCTCGCGTCAAAGGTACCTCCAACCATGATTCGGTAGCAAAGACCAGACACAACAAGCGCTGTGAGCAATCAGTAAACATGATCATGAGAAAAAGGCCGCCTCCCGCACCTCGCCACCTGGGACAGTGCGGTGCGTAACAAACTCCAGCCCTCTTGGGACGATGTGCACTGAAGCGCCTTCCGAGTCTTGCAGCTCAACAGCCTGGCACAGGTTCTCTCATCACATGGCGACGAAATCGCAAGGCTTCACCTAGGAGTTCGCGCACTCTTTGCCGAGCTCGGAGCAAGATCTTCTCCATGCGGCGCCCACACGCGGAAGGAACAAACCTGGCGCTCAAATGCTCAGCTCAGTTGACCTGGGGGAGGTTCGCCTCTGCCGAAATCCATCTCGGGCCGCATGCGTTGGCCTTGCAGCTCAATCGGGCACAGGCGAGCCCCTCCTCTTCGAGAAATCTGCAGGCGAACCGACGCTGGACACTGCAGCCCTCGGGCACGATCCCATCTTGAGTCTTGACATTGCTCAGGAGCTCTGGGTAGAAACTTCGTGCTGTCTGATTTGGTGAAACTGTGCAGAGGTGCCCGCTCAGCTATGGGGAGTGGCCATGAGTGGATGATGGCGACCGGCGTGAGCTTTCAGTGTGTGTTTCCTTTGAAAAATCCCTGAACTAGAAGGTCAGAAGTATCGTTCAACAAAAAGCTGCAGGTCTTAGCACGGTCTTCGAGAACACTGTCTGCAGAGGCCGTCGCTAACTGCCAGCGGGGCTCTGGATCGCCTGCACCCACTCAACTCCCCCATTCAACTCCGCCTGCTCCATATAGCGCATGATCTGTAATATATTCGATATGATGTCTCACATGTACTTTATGATGTATACAATGTTATACATACACACACACACATATATATATATATATATGTGTGTGTGTGTAAAATGTATATTATAAAGTATAACCTCTAACTGACATCATGTAAATCAAAGCTTTGCCGCAAGAGCCTGCCATGGCTAAGCAGAATCTGCCGCTCGTATGCGAATGCTGGCTGAAGCTACCCACGATGCTCCGATTGAAGCCGCATGTATTTCGGATTATTTCGGGTTTGGAAATCCAAGTCTGTCAAAGAAATATCTGCTGAAGGTGCTCGTCGCTTTTTGGCACTAGTTTGACGACGATGTTCCCAAAGTCTTCATGTTGCATGACGCCATGATCCGCTTGAACCCAAGTAATCTCGGTTCCTTGCCTGGGCCACTTGTAAAGTGGTTAACCCTGCATATTCTTATGACGATAACCTGACTATGATTCGGACCACATCTTCGCCTGGGGCCTCAAGCAGCCGACAGCTTCGTTTCGCACTTGCATTTGCAAGAAGATTTAAGCCGAGCACTCCAGGATACAGGCACTTTGTCTCCTGGATCCATGAAGCAACGCAGCAATTCAGCATCTCATGGCCGGGATGTGGCAAAACATGCATCACACCCTGACCCTGCTGAAACAGCACAGGCTACGCTGTATTTCCATATGCAGCCTAAGCCACCAAGGATCAGGCAATGTCTCATGCCCTTCCCCGTCTCCCTCCGCTGGCTGAACTTCCGCTTCCGCTGCTTCAGGTAGTGCGAGCACTTCTGCTGCTTCGGTCCGCTCTTCCTCTGCCGTGACTGCTTCCGCCACTTCTGCTGCTTCGGTCTCGGAGGTTGGTGCTTCGGTCCGCTCTTC